AAAAAAAACAAAAAATAGCCGGGTGTTGTGGTAGTGTTGTGGCCTCCCAGAGTTCTAAGATTACAGGTGTGAGCCACTGCACCTGGCCTATGAGTCATTATCTTTAACAAGGAGGGAGCACATTTCTTCTCTCTTAAGACCTTCAAATTATTCTTCAGTGGCAAAATTCCCAATAACAAATGTATGCCTTTGGCAGATGCTTTCTGACCTTTGCTTGACTAAGAAAGTCAATATGCGTTGTGAATCTTCTAGTGCTAAATCAGTAGATTAAGGAAGCTATCTCACGTCCGCTGCACTCATCCTGTCTTTCTTTCATATCAACTTTTTGGTGGGGTATAAGGTGGGAGCTCGTGCCCACCATGATTGCACTCACGAGGCCGTGTTTTCAATGTGACTTGTTGATGTTTCTTTAGTCTGGAGCTTTGGTTAAATATTTCCCACACTTATTAAACTCATCAGACCTTTCTCTCCTGTGAACTCTCAGTTCTAAGGAGGTGGGGCCATGATTGGAAGTTTCATGGGCTGAATTCATGAAGTTTCTGGTGCTGAATCAGGGCAGACCTTTTGCTGAAGACTTATCACATTGGCTACGCTCCTGAGGTCTTTCCCCAGGGCGAACTCTATGGTGTTTAATGCGGCTGGAACTTTGGCTAGGCCATTTCCCACATTTGCTGTACTCAGAAGGCTTTACTCTGCTGTGGAAAGAGGCCAGATAGCCGCTGCTCCAGATGGGAGGCAACCAGCTGACATTGTTGGAGAGCTGTGCATATAAGGCCTTTCTCCATTGTGGATTTGCTGATGCCAAATAAATCGCATTTGCTGTTGAAAGGTTTACATTTGCTGCACCCCTGGACCTTTCTTTAGTATGGACTCTGATACATAACGGGGGTGGGGGGGAGGGAGGTCTCACTAGAGAATTCCCCGTATTCCTCACACTCGATTCCCCTTTCTTCAGTGTGGATTCTCTGAACAAGTGTGAAATTGTGGCTGAAGGCATTTCTAAACTATCCACGTTAGTAATGCCTTTGTGCTGTGAGAAGGGCCACTCCACATCTGATGCTTTTGTGAGGCTTGTCTACCTGCTTCACGAGCGACCTGATGCTGGAGAGAGCCTGCTGTGACCAGAAAATCCCCCCAACCCTCCCTGCAGGTGAAAGGCTCCTCTGATGTGTGGTCTTTTCTGGTCTTCACAAGCCTCAGTCTCCACCAGCATAAAATATATATGAGGCCCATGGCACCACAGCAAGGAGGGTGAGTGCAGGGGCTCTGGAAGGTCTGGCAGAACCCTTGTTCTAGGGGGACACAGCTGACACAAAGGTGTACAGATGGGTCCCGTCCTCTATGATGTCTCTCCCTGTTCAGAGCTGACAAACATTCTCTACTGGACCAAGTTAGGTGCCTTTGAACTCTCTTCTCAATTAGGCCCTGAGTTGTGGAGTTTTAGCAAGAATTCTGTTCAGTCAGTTTATAAGAGTCCCTGTTTGCCTCTAATGTTTCCTCCTGGAGATTTTCCATTCATTGTCTCCCACCCTGTTCCTTGGGTATAAATTCCCATTACCCCTTACTGTATTTGGAATTGAGCCCAATCTCTCTCCCTCATTGTAAAACCCCATTATAAAACCCTATACCTTTCACAACACCACAACACCACAACACCCTGGATTAGCCTGCCTTACTGTTATGTAACAAGGGCTAGGAATATGTTTTCTTTAATAGTCCTGAGGAGCCACCTAGGAATCAACTTGGCTCCTACGGAATGACCCAGCACTATTGAGTGAACATCTTCAGGTGTGTCTTCTGAAGTCCCGTCACCACCTGTGTGGATGTAGGAAGTGCCCCTCTCCTGGGTGGACACCCTTCTAGGTGATCTAGTTTGTGTCCTGTATTTGTTCCATGACAATTGCCAAGCAGCTTCCTGAGGGACCCTAGGAAATACTGTTTGCAGGTTTTACTGATAAAGTGGGGGCTTTTGTTACTCTTAAGTGGGACACATCCACATTTATGGGGTCACCTAGGCCAAGGCCCCACCCTGAGAGGTCACCAATGGGAGATCCATTCCTTGACCTTCCTGCCTCTGAGGCCCTGGGTGAACTTCACCTCTTGGACATCCAGGGACTTAGATTCAAAATGAAAAATGCAGAAAATGCAAGGCTTTCAGGGTCTAACATTAAAGACTGCCCCAGTTCAGTGGTTCCCAAGCCTTTAACATTAGGATCACCTGAGAATTTGTTACAAATGCAAGTTCTCTGGGCCTACCCACACCTAGTGAAACAGAAGCTCTGGGCGGGTGGGGCAGCAATCCACACTAAGATCTCTAGAAAATTTTGATGCTGTCTCCAGTTTGAGA